TTTCCCATTCCTTCTCTTCATTCACATTTCTGCTTGTATAAGAGATCTTCCTTGATCCTTCCTTCATACTGTAACTCCTTCCTTCATTCCCCATCCCGTTTTACTTCTACCATTATACATTTTATTCATTTGTTTTCTATACTTCCACTCCCTGCTGAAAGAAGAAAACAAGACATTTCATCTTTTCCCTCAGTCCCCACTGTATCCCCAGACACTAGGACTCAAGTAGTTGTAGTTAATTTCAGTTTTAATGTGATGTGCAAAATTTTTTTCTTTAGCTATATTGTCTTTCCAAATAAACATAAAATAAACAGTACCGTTTCGAAACCTCCTGAAAATCTCATTAGAAATTTACTGATTAACACAGGATAACTATCAAATTTTTTAAAAATTCAGGATTCTAACCAAAAACAAGGTATATCTCTCTAGCAGTTTTTCAAATCACAATTTTCAGTGGGACATGACCGTTTACAATTATTACTGGGGTATATACATCATGGTGATTTCACTAAAGGCCTACCCTCAACTATTTTCTAACTGGCTATTACTAGAAGGCATTTTGTTTGTTTTAATTCTGGGGATCAAACAGGACTTGCGCTTGCCAGGCAGGTGCTTAAGCCACTGAGCTATCTGCCCAGGCCTAGCATGCATTTTTTTAAAAACTGTTCCTTTTTAGTTTGATTTATTGTGTGATCGTACCAGTCATTTCACCAAATTTTATTTTGAGGTGCTCTAAGCAATTCCAATGCACACTCTGTGAATACAATGTTAGCTTATATGAACTATGATAACACTATCTTCACCTTTCCACTATATATAGCTTGTATAGGTTCACTCTAATACTACTAGCTAACTGGCTAATACTTCAAAACACTATTAGTGATTCTAGAAGACAGTATTTTCTCACTTTTGTCTTAATTTCTAGTTTTTCACATTCAAGTTAAGTATTATTTCCACTATCAGTTTGCGATACAAATATGCATATGAAATATCTCTTTACACTTAAATATAGGAGTTTACATTATAGCACATGCCTATTTAAGATAAATTTCCTAAAAATTCTTTGTAGCCTTAGGACAAATCATTTTTTCCTGTAAGTTTCTTTTCTAATGAAAAGCTGAACACTATTTGCTATTACATTCCTTAGAAATTCTGCATTCATTACCTTATAGAACATTTTCATGTTTTGTTTTGTGTCTTAATCACTGTAAAAATTTCCAGGAAGTTTAATTCCCTGCGTAATATGCAGTAATGGTTTAAAATTTGGACTCTAAGTTAACAATGTCTAAATTCAAATCTTGATTTTGCAATTTGCTAGTAACATTAATTCTACATTAAATTCTTCACCTCCTTAAGATTCTGTTCTCTTACCTATTAAAAGACAATGAGCCATCATGAAATTCACCAGATAATTCAGGTTAACTCTCAGAACAGTACCTGCATCATCTACAAACTAGATAAGATTGTAACAGTCACAGAAGCCATCCTATCTAGTTAAACCAGAACTAATACTTGATTAAGTGAAAAAAGTGTTAAGAAGGAATCATATAAAAACGAGATACACAGATAAATCATTAAAGCATTTTATTTTAACTGAAAACTTAAAACATGGCCATTCATTTTCCAATTTCCAAACATGCAGCAAAGGTTTTCTCTTTCAACAAAGTAGTCACTAAATGGAATTCTTCATAAGCCTCTTTGTATTAAATCATAGACGCCAACACATCAAAGACTTTGTTTTATTTTAAAATAAAGTTATAACAAAAATACGCAGTCATTAGGCTAAATCCCAGTTATCTGTCCAGCCCTAAAAAGATAACAAAGTTTTAAACTTCTCAAAGCACTGTATCTCTCTATATTTAATTAAATGACATTAACTGGCATAAAACATTCGAAATCACCACCCACCTCTTGGTCACCACCTCTTTAACTGGTGGGATAAAGATGTGTTATTACTAGAAAGTGGTAGCCTACTATTTTCAAGCATTCAGCTTGCCATCTGTCAAGCAAGTATTTACAGAAGAAAAGATTAAAGTAAAAACTCTTTTCAACAGAAGCTTAGTTAAGAAAATTTCTGTGTTATTTTCCTATAGAATAACAACTGGTTTCTAAAAGACCTACAAAATTACCTATGAAAATGTTGGAACCTGACTTATTAGAGTAATGCACTGACAACTATTTCATACATTTTGATTTTCCAATGTATTCAAGAGGTAATTTTTGGTGGACTAAGTAGTCTCAGAGTTACTTGATTTTATTCACAGCTGAAATCAATCTTTTATGTTTTAATTTTTAAAAAAATGCAGAGATGGGTCTTGTTAAACTGTTCAAACTAGCATCAATGTCATGACCTTCTTAACTCCACTTCCTAAACAGCTAGGATTACAGATGTGTGTCAGCATACGTAGCTTCTGAGGTGAATTTCTATTTTATAACTGTAATTTCATTTTATTGTTAATCTCTTTTCATATTAAGCTAAATCAGTGAATTTATATCACACATGTGAATAAACCCAAGGCTCCATCATCCATTTATTCATAAATTTTACATTGTTTTGTACTGCAGCTCATCGGCTGTTTTTATTCTCTGCATTTATTTAACTGTTTTGTTTTTATCCTTCACTTTGTCAGTTGATTGCTTACTTCATTTAATTTCACTTCGTAGTACTATACAGCTATATGTCGTTTAACGACAGGGACATGCTCTGAGCACTGCACTGAGGTCATTCTGTCGCTATATGAACATCATAGAGTGTACTTACACAAACCTAGACAGTATAGGTCAATCACTTGACGTGGCCTCTTGATGCAATCAAGAGAGGCAGTAAACTTGACTTGTATGAGGCTGCTGCCAGGGTAACATGGTGTAGTTTTACCGTAAACTTTTTTTTTATAAGTAGAAGTAGTACATGCTAAAATAACAATAAAAAGTATAGTATAGTAAATACATAATCCAGTAACACAGTTGATAGTTATTACAGTTAAGTATTATGTGCTTAACATAACTGTATGTGCTATACTTTTTATACCATTGGCAGCATAGTGGGGTCATTTGGTATAACCATAAAAACTAGTAATCTTTGCATTGTATTACCACAGCTATGATGTCAGTAGGTAACAGTAATTTTTCAACTTCAATACAATCTTCTAGTAGCCCCAGGACATACGCAGCCCACCATGTATGACCATCACTGACCAAAATGTTATTAAAAAGTACATAATTATGATTTTTTTTCTTAGAAACTGGACAGCCAATGAATTTTTATATTCAAAATTTCTAGAACTCTAAGAATGTTTCCACTTTATATTAATTTCTAATTTTATATCATTTAAAGAATACAGTTCAAACTGTTTCAGTCATGTGACTTACTTGCATTTGCTTTTTCTACTATTATACAACTAAATTTTATAAAAGTTAACTACCACTGAGAAAGTATATTTATTTTGGGAAGGACAATTCCTTGATCTATGACTATTTATCCCACCTTAAAAGATAAAAGTTTCTTGTGTGTCTGGTGATGTCTCTTCCATAGTGCTATAGTTTGTATGGCCCCAATTTCCACATTTTGGAAACTTAGTACCAAAAGTCTTATGGTATCTAAAAAAAATCTTCGAGCAGTGACTGGGTCATATGGCTCTACAGATTAGTGGGTTATCAACAAAGTGAGTTCTCTTTGGTCAAGTTATGTTTCTCCCTGTGCTGCCCAATGACTTTGTAGACAATCCTCTGCCAGCAAGAAACACTTCATCAGATGTAGCCACCCAAACTTGAGCTTCTCATCCTTTATAATATGAAAGGATAAATTTTTGCTCTTTATAAATTACCAAGCCTACAGTATTCAGCTATAGCAACAGAAAATGAACTGAGATACTCCTTTCTATTTCTCTAATTGAAAGTTCTGTGCCCAGACTGCCCCTCAACCAAGGCATGTACTTCTATTTTAGGTTGAGGCAACCAGCTCTTCTGGTGCTGAAAAATACTGCTACTTTCTGGTGTGGATATTTCTTACTGTAGCCAAGTTATCATCAGAGAAGCAGCAGGCTCTAACTGTGACACTTTCCTGGTATGCACTATAGTTATTTTTTTAGAAGAAAAAAATAATTACTAAAACACCAAAAAAGGCAACATCAAGGTTTTTGGGCCTTGATTTTTTCAGTGAGGAGGAATAGGCCAAGCTCCGATTGTAATTTGCTCCCCCAAATTGACTACTTGCTAATTCTGAGGACCTTCTTTCCACTTGATTAGTTTACTGTTTGGGAGTGACACCTCTGAAGTTTATCAGATAAAATTAGGATCCTTCTTTAGTTAGTATCTGTTGCCTTATGCTTAGTTTATTCATTTAGAAAAGTAAAATTCTCTACGCCTCCTAACAGCATCTTTTCTAAAACACTTCATCATTAATTTGACACTTTCATGGAGTCTTCTAAGTCACAAGTTGCAGTCTACATAAAATAAAAAATAATTTGAAAATATAAAATGAAGAGAAAGTTGACTAACATATACATAAGCAACCACTTATGAATGAGGCCCTGATAGGCTCAAATAATGAAGATCTCTGCTAGCTTAGTACATGCATATATTTTAGTGTACACATACTCTGTATAGATAATGATGTTTATGAAATAGAGCATTTCATTTACAATACCCCAAAACATTAACTCTTCTGTTATGCTATACCTTTAAAAAAAAAAGGCCATTCACTCTCTCCCATTTTGTATTACTCTTACTTTCCAGTCTGGTTTTTAGGCTGCAAGTCTTTTGATTTATTCACTGCTAACACCCACCCCCCCATCACTGCCACCACAGATCTAGGTACAGTAAAATTCTTAATTTTAACAGAACAAGTATTTAAGGGCAGCATTCTAGGTTCTACTCCACTTAGTAATCATTAGGCTTCAAGAGAACCAGGCTGTTCTCCTACAGTACGCTTGAACACGTTATGTTCCTTATGGAGTATGATTTCCCTCCCATCATCACAAATACTATCATTAGCAGCTTACCTTATTAATTCTAGTTGTGCAAGTTCCTGATTTGCTTGAAATATAGGTTTTTTAGTGAAGAGTTCACCAAGGATGCATCTGATGGAAAAAATGTTGATCATTAACAGATAATTTTACTCACTACTGTAAGTTTTTAAGTAAAACATACCAATCAATGAATCTATCTTACCCACAGCTCCAAACATCAATAGCTGGTGTGTATCGTTCTTCTCCCAACAACAGCTCTGGTGGGCGGTACCATAAAGTGATGACCTTGTTAGTATAGGGCCGACTAAAAAACACAGAAAGCACTCTTCAGAATTAGTATCTATTAGAAGAGAGATTCACTTAGGAAATATTTTAATTATCAAAGCAATCCTGTAATTCTAATTGAAACCACTCTCATCTAAGTAGTAAATACCAGATATAGTTAAGCATTTAGTAATCATAAAATGCACCTGAAAACATTAGCTTTAAAAACTCCCTTCATACATGAAATAAAGTGAGAAGTAGTTGGCTATTGTCAACTATAATTTGATAAATTAGGTCATATAAACCCAACCACTGAGTAATGTTTTCCCTTTCTATAAAAACTATTACAATGATTAACTGATTCTAAAAAGGAGGGGCTGGGGAGATGGCTCAGTAGAATAAGCACTTCGCTGGCAAGTGCAAGGGCCTGAGTTCAGTCCCCAGTTCTGCCCCCCACACACACAAAAAGGAGCTAGTTGATTTTGCTAGTACACCCTCATTCCCCTCCCCCAATCCTTTTGAAACAGAGTCTCACCATGCAGTTCAGACTAGCCTTGAACTCAAAACTGATCCTCCTGACTCAGCCTCCCAAGTACTGGGATTAGAGGTGTGCCCCACCATGCCAAGTAAGCTGGTGGATTTTTGCCAAATCAACAAATTACTAATAGATGACAAGATATAGTTCAAATTGGGATCACCCAATGAAAATTTTGTTTTGCTTTGTTTTCAGTACCAGGGATTGAACCCATAGCAAGTACTCTACCGCTGAGCTATTACCTGGCCCCGTATCAGTTTTTAACTGAGCGTATCTTAGAGCATTATTTCATTAACTTTGACCCTCTTGGGTTTTGTGAACAGAAATGTAGACTACACTACATTTGGTCTGTTTGGCAAAAGACCACTAGTAATAGGTATTATAATGTATTAGATGACTTATCCTGTTAGAAAGAGAATTAGACATACTGTTGTTACCTCTTTCACTGCCATAGAAGAGGCTATCTAGTCACCTTATAGTAAAGCTTAAGTATCACAGTATCTGTTCATTGGCAGAATGTTTTTAATCCACAGAACAGTCACATTCTACCTGATTCAGATGAATGAAGAATGTCCTAAGAAATCAGACAGAAAGATTCTTCAACTGACCTGCGATTAAGAGTATGTACTCTAGGCCGATCATCTATGTCTCTAGATCAGTTCTAAACCTCTTCCTTTCTAGGTGTTTTGTAAATCACAAAAACTCAGAGGGTATATTATAGGAAATTCTCCAGAAAACCTGTACTCCAAAGCCATTTACTTGAGATTGGCTTGGACATTATATTTTTAATGTATTTACTACAGGGTCTCACTACACAGAGTGCACTCATAGTGATCCTCCTTTTTACAGCCTTCCAAGCACTGGAATTACAGGCATGAGCCACTATGCTCAGTCTCAATCACTGTCTCAGCACTCCCAGGGGCAAGGCTAGTGCGGTATGCCAGGCATCAAATCCAGTCTCTGCATCTGCCTAAGGAGGCGCTTTAATCTGCTGAGTTATCTGGCCGGTCCTTGAACCAATTTTGAGAAGAAAGAAAATGATCACATGACATTTAAAATAATTCCCTCTTGCCTACAATCATCCTAAAGTTTCAGATAGCATAAAATGTGTCTGACCTGCTCTACCCCACTGAGCCAAATTTCTCCAAATAAGCATGAGTACAACCAGTGATCAATCTAGCCAACATATCATTACCACAGACAAGACTTTATTAAATGTTCCAAAGACAAAAAAAAAGTTTGGTTGACTTTGGTAAGAATTGAAAATAAACCAAGAATGGTGGTATACATCTATTATCTCTGCACTTGGGAAGTACAGGCGGGAGGATGTCCTCAAGTTTGAGGCCAATCTAGGATGCGTAGTTGAGTTCAAGGAGAGCCTGTACTACATAGTGAGACCCTGTCTGAAAAATAAGAAGAAAAAAAAAAAAAAATCTCACACCACACACACAAATAAAAAAACCTGAAAATAAAGATAGTCTAAAATTTTTAACAACAAATTAGATTTTTCTAATAGTATTAATGTACTTTTCTTTTTGTTGACATCACTTATCTTTCCATGTTCAGGAAATGTCTTTAAATCTAACTATTCTATCTAATTAGACTCAGCCATTCCTTAAAAAACTATCTGTGTCTGGAGTCCTTTAACACATTCAGAATGGAACTGTCATTCATATGTATTGCTGCAGGGGGAGGGGAAGGAATTATCCTTTGAACCACCAATGGTACATATATAACTGTCCCATCAAGTGGCACGGTACAATCCAATCCTAACACGTGGTACAAAGTGCCTCATGGGACAGTCATGCAGTCATGCACATACCACTGGTAGTTCAAGCTAGCAGGAATGTGTTAAAAGTTTAATTCAAATCCTATACTTCCTCTACTACATAGTAAAAGATCCATCTTCACAGAAATTGTGACTATTCACAATAATTTATCGTCACATACTTAACAAGATCTTAATTCTTTATTTTGTATTTTCTATCTTCATAGGAATTCAAAAGACCCTACAGCATTTTTAATATGAAACCCCACATGAACCCTAGGACAATGGCAGATGCAGGGAACCCTAACATAGCCCATCATCTTCAGGTGACACATGAAAGTTAGCTGGTCAAGAAAACTAAGTCTGAATATTATGATGACTAGTTTCCAACATACTTCAAGGGTCTATGAGCACTTGAAATCTATAGTCATATTACAAAAATGCAACAAAGTAGTCTCAAAGGAACACTTAAGATAAGTGTGCAAATAGTGGATTTGGGTCTTTATATTTAAAAATAAAAACATGTTAAATTGTGGATGGATTAGTTAAGTTCAGCTAAGTAGTATTCAAGAATATTTACACAAAGGATTAATATTAGGTTCTAGGCAATATTTATCACATAGTCATTATTAGCATTTAAAAGTAACTTCTTAATGCTTTATTTTTCAATAACAAACAAAAAAAAGTCAGCACTGATTTCTTTTACACTGTAATTTATCTTGAGATAAACAGCCTTTGGTTAACTACCTATGAAAGAAATCTAGGGCTTCTTTTTAAAATGCCTTATGAACGCATTTTTGGAACCAGAAATCCAAAAATCATTCTTAATTATTCTTCCCAGTAAATCATACAATAAAGTAGATCCTTAACTATTTTTTTACCAATTCAACAACTATGAGAAAGTACAAACCACTACTATCACTACTGCAAGTGTCTGTAATGGTTTTCTTACCTCCACTCCTCATCGTCCTTCCTCACTTTAAAACTTTTTTGGGGTAACTTTAAAGCGTACAATCAGATCCCATCATCCATGAGCTTAAATGTCCAGTGATTCTCACTGTAACTAAAATTTTACTTACCTCGGCTGATAACATTGTACACTGAGGATCCCACCTCTTATGTGCTAGGATGATGCTGGGAAACTTTTTTAGCCTTAATTTTTTTCCAAAACTAAACATACCACTTCTACTTCCTAGCTGTAAGGTTCTTTATCTAGGTTTTACATCCTGTCGTTCTCATCCCTGAGGTCTTAAAAATTACCCCAGCCACCACCTAACCCCTGATACGGGACCTACTAGCCACTATTTCCTTTGCTTTGTAGTTGTTAACTATTTTAAAAATTTTCCCCTATCACACGTGTACTAACCTCCCTCATCACCATGAAAATGAAATCAAGAATTTGGTCTGTCTTTAACAGCTCTTTAATACAGTCAATAAGTATTGGTTAGGTCAAAGTCTACGATATGGATGAATTATTTAACCCTATGATTGACTGACTCATGCCATAACTATGTAACTAAACATGCTTTCTTTGCTTCTTCCTATTTTCACTTTGTTTTCCTATGGATAACTTTTAAAATTCATGGATCATCACACTGCTACTGAAATACAAAACTATTCAAATTGATACTGTCATCTTACTAAAGTCATTTATCTTGATTTTTATTCTTACGACACATGCACACTTACGAGGCCTATAAATACCTCTACCGTAACACATCCCCTTTCCAGCAAACTGCTTCTTCCTGTCTCAGCAAACAACAGCACCATTTGTGGCAGAGACTGATAGCTGTCCTCTAAAACTCTTTTATTCCTTTCTCTATGGCAGCTGCCCAGCTATGCTATATTTCCCATTCTCACTGTAGTGAGGTATGCCCATATGACAAAAATTAAGTGCTCTCCCATGGAAGAGAAGCACAAGCAATAAGTGCCATTTTTAGGCCTCACATGGCACTCCTCCCTCTTCTTTTCTCATTTCTGACAAGAGCCTTAGAAGGCAGGTGTAGATGGCAAATCTTCCAACCTGGCTTCATGGATGCCTATATTGAACAGTCATCACTTGATCTGATCTTATGATTAAATATTAGTGGTGTACTGAGGTAAGCAACAGGCATTCAATATAATTAAGTGAGAAGAAAATATATAAATTTTTCTTTAATCACTACTACATTTTGAGGTTCTTTTTGTTAAAAAGGTTAGTATAGCCTAACTAACAAACCATCTTGCTTAGCGGTAACCCTGCCATTCAGGGATAGATTTCACAACACAGTCAATCACCAAATAGCTTTCTAACTGTCCTTGTACAATCACACATTATTTCTATACAAGACCCAGAAAAACCTGTATTAACTGGGTCATGATTTGATGTCACTGAACCTTTCATTCCTAAAATGCTAAGTAAAGGCACATTTTCTAGAGCAATGAGAAAAAGACAGAGTAGAAAAAAAGAAATGGTAAGTAAACTTGCAAGAAGTTAGTGGTACTATATATTTGATTAGTTGATGTTTGTGTGTGTGTGTTGTTTGTTGGTTTGGTTTGGTTGTTTTGTTTTTTTGAGACAGGGTCTCACTGTGTAGTTCAGGCTGGCCTTGAGTTCACAGTAATCCAGGCTGGCCTTACATTTGTGGGAATCCCCCTGCCTTGGCCTCCCATGTGCTGAGATTATAGGTGTGCACCACCACATCTGGCTTTGTGTTACATCATAAGTGTTTTCAATAAAGCAATTTTTTAAAATGAT